GAAAGCCCAATCACAGGCTGAAGGATTCAAATCTACCTGCCCCTATCACCTGATTGCGTTCACATGCCTTCCTTTGCCAGCTGGTTAAGATAAATTTCTTAAAACCTTGTATGAATGTTTTACCTCTCTGCGATCTTCAGCATGACGAAGCTTCCAGGCCTCAAATCTCCTCAACATTTCAAACCTTTCCTTCTGCCTCTGAAGCGCCCTCGTGAGATTGGACAGGACCCCGTCCTTACGCTCGATGGAAACTTCGTACGTGTGCAAAAGCTCTTTCAGGTTCTCAATGTCATTCTGGAGTTGGTTGACTTCTCTGCAGTGCCTATTAAAAAAAGAGGGATTTTATGGTGCAACACTGAGATATCTTTGTTCACTCTAGACTTCAGAGATTTCAAGTCCTACAATGCAAGAACTGTAACCAAAGCAATGCATCACTCAGCCACCTGATCTATTATGATCACGTTTTTAATTTCAGTACTTTGAAGATTTGTTTTGATCCAACAGGAAAACATACTCCTGTAAGTAAGCAAAATATGGACAATTTTTCAGTATCTTTTAATCATTTAAAGCAAATAAAATCTGTCCGGACCATCTACTCTTTTATAAGCATGTAGTCAGTTCTTAAGAGTGCAACACTGTCACATTTCCTACCCAAAGGTTAACAAGCGACAGTAGACACAGTAAACGTGTACAAACGTTCCTGCCCTCCATCAGATAATGTGGCACTCCAATCTCCTCAACATGTGGATCTGAATGGACACACTCTTCCACCCAACATGAACTTTGAAATCATCTTCTGTAGCTGTTATGCAACACTTGGCAAGAGACTGCAAGCACAGGGTCTGGTTTTGGACTCATGTCTCAGAGCACAGCTCTTCAGCAGTGCAATATTTCAGCATACTCCATCAACAAGGAATAGCCAGGATTTCATGTGATGCAAGCAGGATATTGAAGGTAACAGTTAACAAAGAAAAAAACAGTCTCCCTTCCTTTTCAGGAATTTTGCATTCGAATATTCAAATTCAGAAAATAATATTTGAATATTCAATAACTGAGGCAGATACCCACCAGGATACACAGGCAAAGTCTCAGACAGTTAGCTCCAGGGAAAATGTATTAACCTCTAACGGCCAAATCTTTTGCAACACAGAAAGAACTCTACTTGACCAATATCAGGTCATTTTGTACGAACATGGACATGCCAATATGTAAAACGAAATCAACAGTAGTCACTTCTCACAAGTATTATCCTACCTGTCTTTAAGTGACTTGATTTCCTGACGATGTCGCTCAATTAGACAGATCTTGGACTGACTCATTTCAGCCTGAAAGTAAAACACAACTGACAAGAATAGATACACGCACAAAATTGTATTTGTAAAATAATTCACATATCCCATTTTTGTCTGCCTTTCATGTTAACCCCTTCTCGGCGGG